GCGCTGGGAAACGCGCGTGGAAAATGCTTGCCCGGGGAGTTCGGGGGGCCCTTCAACGAGCCGGCATTCCCTGGGAAGCTTGGAGCACGAAGGACGTCGGCGCTCCACGTCGGGATCTGCCGGGAAACGTCTGCGCCCCTGCCAGAAACAGGTTTCTCCGAGGCCATTGGCGCAACGTGAAAGCAGCATGCCAGGCGAGACGCCACGGCGCTGCAATCTCGGCGAGCAAAATACAGACCCGGTTCCGCCGAGGCTTGGCTCCGTCGCGCCCAGTTCCGCCGAAGCCCGCTTCCGCCGCGCCCGGTTCCGCCGAGGCCCGGCTCCACCGAGGCCCGGTTCCGCCGAAGCCCAATTCCGCCGCGCCCAGTTCCACCGAGGCCGGGTTCCGCCGCGCGAGGGGCGCGCAGGCCAGCGCCTGAGGCTGCGGCGCGGCGGAACCAGGCCGGGCGGACCAGGGCCGAGGGAACAGGGCCTCGGCGGAAGGAGGGCCGCGGCGGAAGAGGGCCGAGCGGAACGGGGTCGCGGCGGAAGAAGGACGGGCGGAACATGGCCTGGCGGAAGAGGGAATCGACGGAACAGGGCCTCGGAGGAACAGGGCCTCGGCAAAGGACGGCCTCAGCGGAAAAGTAGTAGTAGTAGTAGTAGTAGTATAGATAACTAGTAAGTTAAATAAAAAAGTAGTAGTATGTTCGGCAATAGTAGTAAAGTAGTAGTAGTCCGTAAGACGTAAGAAGAAGTACGTAAGCACTAGTAGTAGTACAGTGTAAAGTAAGATAGTAGTACAATAAGTAGTAAGATTAGTAAGAGTAAGTAGAAGTATAACAGAGTAAGTAAGAACATAAAACACAAAACAAAGAGTATCAGATCACCAACCCGGTCCAGAACGACTACGACTCCCTACTCCCCTACTACGCCCAGCTCAAAGAGCTGTATGCCAGCAGACGCAGTCTTACGCCGCACGCAGTATGTCGCCGTCGACTAAGCGACCCGCCGCCCGGCTAGTCGGCGACGATATGCCTTCGAACGTCCGACCACCGTCCTAAGTACTACTTCACGACGCAGAACGACAAAGACTACGACGAAACACGACCCCACTACGACGTACCCCCGCCTACCCACGTACGACTCGGAAGTTGTTGAAGACGACGTTACGCGTACGACTCGTACTGACGTCGACGACGTAGACGTACCGACGTGCGAAGACACGACCTACTTCAGACCGTCGTCGACGACCGTCTCGTACCATCAAGAGACACCGGCGATGGCCGATTTGAGACCCGTACGGATCGACGAAGAGTGTGACACTACTCCAACTACCGGTAATATCCCGATGTAGACGCACCAGACGACGTAGACTACAGTCGACGTAGAAGTCGTATAGTAATATACGTAAGTCTATTCGTCTGGTCAGTCTTCCTCGTGAGTAGTACGATCGTATTTAGTAAGTCGTCGACGTAGAAAGTCAGAATCATACGTATTATACTAAGTAACTACAACCTCTCCGTCTACTAGTCGTACTGGGGAGTGGAGTCGGAGGTGGTGTGTGGTGGAGGTGGTGAGGCGGTGGTGGTGGTGGTGGTAGTGGTAGTGGTAGTAGTGGTGGTAGTAGTGGCGGTAATACAGGTAGGCGCGTGCGGGGGGGCGCTACGAGGAGAAGGAGGAGGAGCAGCAGTAGTAGTGGTAAGTAGTATAGTAGGAGTAGAGAAGAAAAAAGTAGTAAGTAATATATAGTAGTAGTAGTAGTAGCAGTAGTATGTAGTAGTAGTAGTAGAAAGTAGTAGTAGTAGTAGTAGTAGTAGTAGTAGTAATAGTAGTAGTAGTCGTAGTAGTAGTCGTAGTAGTAGTAGTAGTAGTAGTAGTAGTAGTAGTAGTAGTAGTAGTAGTAGTAATGGTGGTGGTGGTGGCGGTGGTGGTGGTGGTGGTGGTGGTGGTGGCGGTGGTGGTGGTGGTGGTAGTGGTAGTGGTAGTAGTGGTGGTAGTAGTGGCGGTAATACAGGTAGGCGCGTGCGGGGGGGCGCTACGAGGAGAAGGAGGAGGAGCAGCAGCAGCAGGGGGAGCAGCAGCAGGAGCACGAGGAGGAGCAGGAATGGGAGCAAGAGTACACAGCCCCAGGGGGCGACCGACGACGGCGGGACGACCAGTCATCCTCGCAACGCCTCGATGGTGGCACGCGGGGCGCGCCTCCGCTGCTGTAGGAGACGGGCTCGACCGAGGCCACGCGCGCGGGCGAACTCTCTCGCGGGCGAAACACTTAACCACCACTTCGATCCGTGGCAGGAGGAGCAAAGCACATCAATTTAGATCGACACCAATGAGAGCAGAGACGCCAGGCGGAAGAGGGAACAACGAAGCGCGAGAGGAGGCAGGGGCGGGAGCGAAACAAAGGGGCAGGGACGCTAAGCAGAAGACGGAGAGGGGCGAAGCAGGGACAGACAAGAACATGGAGCCAACGATCACTGCCTGCAAGGCCACAAACAAAAAAAAATGGCCCCTCGGAAACGCGGGCGACAGAGGTGGCAACACGCGCCGGGGCATGAGTGCACAAACTGTTGAGAGCTAAGTACATCAAAACTAACTGATGAGACGTGGGGACATACCCAAACATCTTAAGCCTTTTTCCGTAAGGGTGGTTCTAAGGGAAAACGAAGAGAGGGCACGGAGGGCATACTCAGTTTCACTCTGCAGTAAATTGACGGCGATGGAGGGGATGGACGGGATGGACGACAGGGAACGGAAGTTCTGGATGACGGCATAGAAAGACCAGGAAAGCCAGACTGGGTTCCACTTCCACGCGGCTAGCACATTGTCAGCGTCACTCCCATATTCGAACAAGTGCATCGCATCGGCGAAGGCAAGCGCCATCACGGCAGCCCTGTGCATGACAGCTTTGGCGGCACACTGGAGATCACGCGCCTGAATCGGAAATCCGACTTCCTGGAGGTTCTGCAAAATACCTTGCGAAAAGGCCATTATTAGCAGCGTTTGTGATCGCCTGCAGGGCCTCGCGGGAGGACTGGGAGCCCCCTCGGTGGGGACATAGAACTGGACAACATGCATGAGCACCGAGAAGGCCAACAGGTTGAGACGCACCAAAGACTTGCACAGCCCCAGACCAAGACACTTGACATTGCGGGCTCTCGTGAGGCATTTGGTGGCAGGCGGGCCCCAGTTTTCCTCGCGGCCTTGGTCACCTAGACAGACACCAAAATACATCCCGACTCGCTGGGAACGACAGCCCCTCCGCAGTCGGCACACCCGAAGCCTGGATGAAGGCACAGCACTGCTCAGTGCTGTAGGAGTTGAGTGGAACAATGATAGACTTGCTTATGTGAATGCGCAAGTCCGCGGCCGTGTCAGCGATCTTCCAGGCCAGCAAGAGATCGCGGAAAATGGCGAAGACATCAGCAGCCGAGACGCCAACATCGTCGGCGAAGGCGGCCAGACAAGACAGGTGCCTGGGAATCCTAACGAACATATAACGCATTATGGGGTTCATGGCCAGGCAGAAGATAGCGCCAGAAAGAGGGCAGCCCTGTTCAATACCCCGATAGGCGATAAAGGAGGCATTGCGGAGCCCATTGAAGTGTCTCTTGACATTACCATGGGTGTAAAGCGCCCGAACCGCGACAATGATACATCCCAGGAATGCCCATCATCCCAAGCACCCAAAAGATCAGACAGTGGAGTAGGCTAGGAAAGGCGGCACGAGCATGATAGTGAATAGTCATTGCACGTTGACACACATATCGCGCGAACCAATCCATAACTTTACTCTCGAGGTTGAAATTGTTATCGTTCATATGCATGCCTGGTATAAAGCCTCGCTGGTTTCTAATCACCGTCTGGACAGTGACCCTGGAAAGCGAGCGAGCGAAACGATATTGTTGTCCGAATTTCCGAGGGTAATGGGGCGAGAACTTCGGGTTTGCGAATCAAGCGCTGGAGGGGGGGCACCCTCTGGGTCGCTGCCCTTGGCTAGGAAAACGCCATGCCATGATTTGAATTGTCAGGGGCGTTTCCCTTCGACAACAGCTCGGAACAAAGCCCATAAAGCGACTCGGCAACTGCTGGACCACCGCGGGAATACAGCTGCAGGGCAAACCGTCGGGTCCAGGGGAGGAGTCGGACGTTTTGGAAACGGGAGGGAAGGGAGGAGCAGGAGGAAGAGGAGTGCTGAGCACGAGTGAACCTCTCGGCTGCCACAGAGGTGTTGTCTCGCAGGAGGAAGTTCGGCGGCACGCACGCTGAGACAGGGGAGTTCGGGCGGGCAGAGTCAAAACACCATGGCACCGCAACGCCGTAACACCCCAACATCCACCCACCCGAACACACATAAGCCCTAACACCCGAACACCCTAACACCGTAACACCCGACCATCCGAACACCCAAACGTCCTAACATCCTAACACCCTAACACCAACACCCTAACGCCCGAACACCCTAACACCCCAGAGGGATGGGTTGGGGTAAAAGGAAAAGAGTAAAGACACGGAACAACTTGGAGGGGCCTGACAGAGGAGGTTGAGATAGGGAGGGCTGCGAGTGCTAAGCTGAATCGCCCTCTACCTGTGTCCTCCCACTCCCCCTCCTTATCATGACTAACATCTCTCCAACACCTCATAGCCATTACGTACCAGCATCATCATACTCAGCATACTCGTCATTGGCGACACGACCATGAACAACCTAAACAAGTTAATCATCTCAATCGTCATAAATATCGTCGGTGTGAACATCAGCATTGACGTAGTCATCTGTAGTGACCCCATCACCATCGTCGTCGTCATCATATTCAGCCACATACATTCATAGCGATCACTATCGTCATCGACATGTTCATCAACATCCTCGTCGTCGACAGCGACACCCGTAGCGACATCAGCGGCATGATAACGTCATGCGTATGAGTATGATGTTCAACCTCCTCATCTGCCTCAATCACCCACGTCCTCTTCGCCCCCTCCTTTGAGCAAGGGGGGCGGGGAGGAAGGGTCGCCACCGAGCGTGACAGGCACAGCACGTGGATATCGTCATGCAGATCGTCCTGGCATGGGTGGCACTTGCCGCTGTTGTCATCTGCTATGTCTGCGGAAGGAGAGGGCTAATGGGAAGGAAGAGGAGGAGGGGGAGGGTTGAGGAGGGGAGAAGAGTATTCGGAGGGTATGGGGGGCGGGGAGGGGGAGCAGGGGGGTGGAGCGTGAAGGAAGGAGGAAGGAGGGGGGCAGGGAGGAAGGGAGCGCAGAGGATTAGGAGCAGGGCAAGAGGGGGAGGGGGAGAAGTTGGGGGAGGAAGGAGAGGAGCAGGGGTGAGATGGGGAGAGACCGGAGGAAGCACTGCTGGCTGCGACTCGACGAGCGCGTTGGCTAATCGTAGCCTCGCATGCGAGCCAGCATTTCGCTTAGCTGCACCGCGCCATCCGTGCTGGATCTCATCCTCCTCCTCCTCCTCCTCCTCCTCCTCCTCCTCTTCCTCCTCCTCCTCCTCCTCCTCCTCCTCCTCCTCTTCCTCCTCCTCCTCTTCCTCCTCCTCCTCCTTCTCCTCCTCCTCCTCCACCTCATCCGCTCTGCCTCCACCTCCTCCGCCCCCTGCTCCTTCTGCATGTGCTTCTCGTCATCGCCCTACGCATCCTCATCGTCATGATCGCCTCCATTTTTGGCACTCAACATTAGCAGCTCCATGTTAGTCGACATCCGCAGCGGGAGCTTCGTCATCATCATCATCGTTGCCGCCGTCATCGATGATCAAACTCAAAAACAATAATAACAACAACAACAAAAACAACAACAATAACAACAACAACAACAACAACAACAACAACAACAACATCATCATCATCATCATCATCATCATCATCATCATCATCATCATCATCATCATCATCATCAGCATCGTCATCATCATCAGCATCATCAGCATCATCATCATCATCATCATCAGCATCATCATCATCCACATCTCCGTCATCATCATCATCATCAGCAGCAGCAGCAGCATCAGCAGCATCATCAGCACCATCATCATCAGAATCATCATCAACATCATCATGATGGTGATGATCATCATCATCAGCAGCAGCAGCAGCATCATCAACATCATCATCTCGTCATCATCCTCATCATCATCAACATCATCATCAACATCATCATCGTCATCAACATCATCGCCATCATCATCAGCATCATCATCTGCAGCAGCAGCATCATCATCCTAATCATCAGCATCAACATCATAATCATCAGCATCCGCATCATCATCATAACCATCAGCATCATCATCAGCAGCATCAGCGTCAGCATCATCATCATCATCATCATCATCATCATCATCAGCATTATCAGCATCATTATCAACATCATCGTCGTCGTCAGCAGCATCCTCATCATCATCAGCATCATCATCAGCATCATCATCAGCATCATCAGCAGCATCAGCATCAGCATCAGCATCAGCATCAGCATCATCATCATCATCAGCATCATCATCATCATGATCATCATCGGTAGCAGCAGCATCAGCATCAGCATCGTCACAACCATCATCATCATCAGCATCATCAGCATCATCGTCATGATAAACAAAATCATCATCATCAGCATCAGCATCATCATCGGCATCATCATAATCAGCAGCATCGTCATCATCAGCATCCTCATCAGCAGCAGCATCTTCATTATCATCATCGTCATCATCATAATCATCAGCATAATCATCATCATCAGCATCATCAACATCATAATCGCCATCTTCATCGTCATCATCATCCTACTCGTCGTCGTCATCATCATCAGCATCAGCACCATGACCATAATCACCAGCATCAGCATCATCAGCATCATCAGCATCATCAGCATCATCAGCGTCATCGTCATCGTCATCATTATTGTCATCGTCATCGTCACCATCATCAGTATCATTATCGTCAGCAGCATCATCAGCATCACCATCATCGTCGTCCTAGTACTTATCAGAATCAGCATCAGCATTATCGTCGTCCGAATAATCATCATACTTAGCATCAGCATTATCGTCGTCGTCGTCCTCATCTTCCTCCTCATCTTCCTACTCATCATCGTCTTCATCTTTATCAGCATCAGCATCAGCATCAGCGTCGTCATCATCATAAACATCAGCATCGTCGTCACAGCCATTGTCGCTGACACTCATCATCAATTCCACAATCCCCCTCCTACACGTCCCGCAGGGAGAAGAAACAGGAGCCTGTCGATCTTCAGGGATGACGAACTGAGCCTTTGCAGGCTTGGTGCTTGATGGTGAATGATATCCCTCTGCCTTGTAGCTGTATACATTATATATAGATATACGTGCGTGTGCCATTACATATCTGTGTATGAACACTAAGAATAAGCTGCTCTGTCCTCCTCCTAATGATGCCACGACAACTGGTCGGGCTGTCGAAAACGCTAGACCCCCCCGACCGCAAATCTACAGTGGCTCTGGGAGCTGCCCAGGCTTATCGCAGAGCGACTGCACTACGATGCTCAGCAAGTACTGCAGCGTCTGCTAAGCCAACCGATTGGTCGCGCTTCTCCAGCTTCACGTTCCGAAAGCACACAGACAAACACCTGACCCTGGCCAACACCAGCGCGCCCTGCGGCCGTGTCGACAAAGCCCCAGAGGTGGACACCCGCACCTTCTCAAACACAGGAATCGAAAATCGTCAAAAGCAACCCCCCTTTAAAGAAGAGGAAGAGGACTGGGACGACTGGGACGACTGGGACGACGACGACGACGACGACGATGACGACGACGACGGCGACGGCGACAACGACGACGACATCGACAGCGACGACGACGACGGCGACGACGACGACGCGGACGACGACAACGACGACGACAACGAAAAGATCACGTCGGCGAGTGCGGCGGAATGGAAGGGAGGGCCCAACAGGGGGCATTGGCAACAATGGTACGTCATGGTACGTCTCACGGACAGCGTGGGTCTTGCAGACCCGACCGTGAGCGCTGGGGCGCACAGTTCCTGAGAGATGAAATCGACCTAACCCTGACAGGCCAGCATGATTCTCAGCCGAAAAACTAGCCGCCACGGGGGGGGGGGGCCTTTCCTCCTGCCCATCGACCACACGACCAGACTCACGCCTGAATCGACTCTTGCGTCATTTAAGAATATATAGCTCGAGGGAAGACCACGCATGCACCGAAGGCTGGCCATCACGGTGAAGGCCTACTCCGACATGACGAGCTGGGCAACGTCATCTGGGCAACATGCATGTGCAGGAGGCATGGAGGAGGACTAGATCCGAATCCTGGCAATCGAGGAAGACCAGACCGACTCGCGCAACATTGCAAATACCGCCGAAAATAGACTCGCACGAACGACAAGCAAGCCTCGAGGGGACACCTCGGGCCAAATCCCGGCTTACCAGAGAGCGTGAGAGAGAGGGGGGGAGCGCACAGGAAGACATGAAAGAGGGCCAGACATAGATCTACACGGGAATATACACGTGCACATGCATATATACATGTATGTATGTATTATGTATGTATGTATGTATGTATGTATGTATGTATGTATGTATGTATGTATGTATGTATGTATGTATGTATGTATGTATGTATGTATGTATGTATGTATATGTATATGTATATGTATATGTATATGTATATGTATATACATATCTATATATATGTTATCCGTAAGGGTTTCGCCTCCCGCTGCCGGCCCCCTCCATAGCACAATGGGACATATCGGAATCGCGTCGGTGGGTCTCGGCGCTGCCTTGGCGCATCCGGGAACAGCATGCGGGGGCGGGTAGGAATCATCGGCGCAGATTGAGACGTTGGCGTGATCGAAGACGCCTACGGCGAATCACCGCCGCCCCTCTGCCTTTTGGGGGAAACGCCTATGTGGCCGAGTTGGCCTCGAGCTTGGCCAAACTGTCGGACCATCTGTTCCCCGAGACGGTTTGGAAAACGTTCGGGGAACACGTGGAGGAGAATGAACATGAAGACGCCGAGGAAGCGGGATAGGAAGAGAAGGAGGCTTCTTGGGAGCCTCTTGGAGCATTCGGGGCCTGCTGGGTGATGCCTGGGGCCTCTTGGAGGCTCTTTGGGGCCTCCTTGGGCCTGCTGGGGGCATGTGGGGGTTTCTTGGGGGCCTCTTGGGCCGTCTCTGAGCGTTCCTGCCTTGTCTGACGCCGTCGGAAGCCGTCATGGAGGCCTGTCTGGGTCGTCTTGGGGCCCTCCTGGGGCGTTTCGGGGTCGTCTTCGAGGCCATCTTCGGCGTTTGGGACGACGCCTCCTGGGCCGTCTTGGGACCCTCGTTGGGCCTTCTTGGAGGCCTTTCGGGCCGTCATAAGGCCATCTTGAAGGCCTCGTGGGCAACTTTGGACCGATCATGGGGGGCCCTTTGGTCACCTGGAGCCGTCGGGATACCGAGAAAAAGCAACTGCCCAAATCCACTAAAAAAACATAAGACACAGTAGTGATTCTGATCTCGTCGCACCCTCCTGGAGGAACTCTTAAAGACCTCTTGGGCCGTCTTGCAGACCTCGTGGGGGCCTCTGGGTCCGCCTTGGGACATCGTGGGGCCATAGTAGGCCGTTGTGGGTGCATCTTGGGCCGTCGTGGAAGCAGCACGGGGTCAATTCAAGCGTCTTGGAGGTCAACTCGGCCGTATTGGAGGCCTCTCAGGGGCCCCTTGGGCCGTCTTGAGGGCCTCTTGGGCCTGATGTCATTTTACCAACTATTTGCTGCGCGACAGAAGCTCTGACGAGGAAAAGCGAACGGCGAGGCAAGCACCTCGCGCAAGCGAAACCCTTGTCGGGCCGCATGCCTGCATCATGACACGACTGTTCTGAGATGTGACAAAAGAAACTGACAGGCAGGAAGTCTCCTCGGGAGAGTTCGGGCGGGCGCCGAAAACCGATGGATGAAGGAACGGAGACAATTGCCACATCAATCTCGCACGCTGCTAACCATGATGCACACGTTTTACCAAATATGTGCTACATGACAGAAGCCCTGACGAGGAAAAGCGAACGACGAGGCAAGCAGCCCGCGCAA